CTGCACTCCCTGGCCACAGCAGAGAGCTGGCCTGGAAGAGGGGCAACCGGGACAGAATCCGGCGCCCCCACCGGGACTAGAACCTGGCGTGCTGGCGCCGCAAGGCAGAGGATTAGCCTAGTGAGCCACGGCACTGGCCAATAAATAAATCTTTAAAAATTAAAAGTGGGAATGGGAGAGGGAAGAGAAAGAATGGTTGGAATACAGGCAGGAGGGAGGGAACTATCACTATGTTCCTTAATCTGCATACATGAAATACATGCAACTTGTATAACTTAAATACAATTTTAAAATAAACAAAAAAAATCCAGACTATCCTCAATAATCAGTACAGTTCTCGAGACTTCAATGTCAGCTCTCATCCTCATCTACTGGTAGATTAATCTTCCACTTTCCTTTATCCTCAAACTCTATCCTATTTATTCTGATTCAGTATTGTTGACAAGGAACAGACTTTCAGTTATATGACGACATAAAGCAAACAACAGAAACAGACTCAGATATGGTAGTGATTTTGAAATTATTAGGTAACTATGGTTAATATGTCTATGGCTTTAACGGTAGAACTGAACAACATAAAAGAACAGATGGATAATGCAGGCAGAGAGAAACTCCAAGATAAAGAATCAAAAAGAAATTATATAAACCAAAAATAATGTACCAGAATAAAGGATGACTTTGATGGGCTGATCAGTAGACTGGACATAAACAAGGAAAGAATCAGTGAGCTTTAAGATAGGTCAATACAAACTCTCCAATCTGAAATGCTAACAGAAAAAAAAATCGGGGGCTGGCACTGTGGTGCAGCAGGTTAATGCCCTGGCCTGAAGCGCCAGCATCCCATATGGGCACCGGTTCTAGTCCCAGCTTATCTACTTCCCATCAAGCTCTCTGCTATGGCCTGGGAAAGCAGTAGAAGATGGCCCTAGCCCTTGGGCCCCTACACCCAAGTGGAAGACCTGGAAAAAACTCTGGCTCTTGGCTTTGGATTGGCGCAGCTCCGGCTGTTGCAGCCATCTGGGGAGTGAACCAGCAGATGGAAGACCTCTCTCTCTCTCTGCCTCTCCTTTGTGTAACTCTGCCTTGCAAATAAATAAATAAACCTTTAAAAAAAAAAGAATGAAAAAATAAGATACTAGAAAAGAGTATCTATGAACTTTAGGACAATATCAAAAGATATAATTTGGGGGCGATGGGTAAATTACAACCTGAAAAGGCTTTACCAATATAATTCATAAAAGGAAAGCCACAAAAAGACATTTTTAGACAGATAAATGTTTGCAATGGTAAATTTAGGTATCAATTTGGATTAAGGGATCTCCAAACAGGTGGTAAAACATTATTTCCAGGTTTGTAGGTAAGAGTATTCATGGAAGAAATTGATATTAATACCAGAGGAAGATCTGCCCTCACCCAATGTGTATTCATCCAATAGTTGAAATCTGGATAGAACAAAAAGTCATAGAAAAGACACATTTATTTGCTCTAGCTCTCTCTCCTGTAGCTGGGACATCCTTCTTCTCCTGCCAATAGATATCAGAACTCCAGGTTGTCCAGCCTTTGGACTCAACACTTGCAACAGCAGGTGGCTAGGTTCTAAGGTCTTTGGTCTTAGACTGAGAGTTATACTACTGCTTTCCCTGGTTCTGAAGCCTTCAGACCAGGGCTCAGTAATGGCAACCGGCTTCCTTGGTTCTCTAGCTGACACATGGTCTATCAGATTTCTTTACCTCCACAAACAAATAAGACAACATTAATAAATCCCCTTTCCTTTCATCCATCCATCCATCCATCCATCCACATCTATCTAATCCCTTGGTTCTTTCTCTCTGGAGGACCCTGACTTATCTAAATCAACAAAATTCTTCTGATAAAATTAGGATAATTAAGACAATCATTTCAATTCTGATCATCCCTCAAATATCTGGTCAGATGAAAAGCAAATACCATCAGCCTCTTCCTGTCCCATCATTCCAGCACTGCTTTATATTTTCTCACCTTGTCTCCTCCCACTATTTATTTTGTATTTTTTTATTTATTTGAAAGACAGAGTTACAGAAAGAGGTACAGACAGAGAGAGTGGTCTTCCATCCACTGGTTCACTCCCCAGATGGCCTCAACGGCCGGAGCTGCGCCGATCTGCCAAGAGCCAGGAGCTTCTTCTGGGTCTCCCATGTGGGTGCAGGGGTCCAAAGACTTGGGCCATGTTTTACTGCTTTCCCAGGCCACAGCAGAGAGCTGGATCAGAGTGGAGCAGCCGGGACTAGAACCGGCGCCCATGTGGGATGCCGGCGCCTCAGGCCAAGGTTTGTTTTTTTTTTTTTTTTTTTTTTGACAGGCAGAGTGGACAGTGAGAGAGAGAGAGAGAGACAGAGAGAAAGGTCTTCCTTTGCCATTGGTTCACCCTCCAATGGCCGCCGCGGCCGGCATGCTGCAGCCGGCATACCGCGCTGATCCGATGGCAGGAGCCAGGTACTTATCCTGGTCTCCCATGGGGTGCAGGACCCAAGCACTTAGGCCATCCTCCACTGCACTCCCTGGCCACAGCAGAGAGCTGGCCTGGAAGAGGGGCAACGGGGACAGAATCTGGCGCCCTGACCGGGACTAGAACCCGGTGTGCTGGCGCCGCTAGGTGGAGGATTAGCCTAGCGAGCCACGGCGCCAGCCTAGGCCAAGGCTTTAACCCGCTGCACCACAGTGCCGGCCCCCTCCTCCCACTATTTATTCCATCCTATCTCAACTTTTCCTCTGTGCTTTTTGAAACCACACTGCTATTTAATAAACAACTTTTATCAAATTTGTCATTTTAAAAATTCATTTTTTTTAATCTTAAAAAAAAAAAAAAAACACCTGGGGCCAGTGCTGTAACATCGTAGGCTAAGCCTCTGCCTTCTGTGCCAGCATCCCATATGGGTCCCATTTCATGTTCTTTGGCCCCTGCACCCATGTGGGAGATCCAGAATAAGCTCCTGGCTTAGGATCAGCTCAGCTCCTGCCATTGTTGCCATTTGGGGAGTGAACCAGTAGATGGAAGGCCTTTCTGTCTCTCCCTCTCTCTGTCTGTAACTACCTCTCAAAGAAATTAAATCTTTTTTTTAAAATTGTTAAAAAATTTTAAAATCTTAGTTTTCTCACTTACAATACTACTGCCTGTGCAACCTTCCACCACATACAATGGATACTAGAAATGAAGAGATGGAAGTTGAAATTTTTTTTTATTTTTATAGAGTTAGAGAGAGAGAGAGACAGAGGCAAAGGTCTTCCTTCTGTTGGTTCATCCCCCAAATGGCTGCAACAGCCGGCGCTGCGCCAATCTGAAGCCAGAAGCCAGGTGCTTCTTCCTGGTCTCCCATGTGGGTGCAGGGCCCAAGCACTTGGGCCATCCTCCACTGCCTTCCCGAGCCACAGCAAAAAATGCCAGCATAGATGAGGGCACAATACAGTCTGGGCTCTTTTTACAGAGGAATGCATTGATGGGGTAACCCAGTTTCTTTCCAAAATTGGTTCAGTGCCTAAAAGGATCTTGGGGTGCTCCAGCAGTAAATTCCTAACATGTCTGTGACGTGAGCAGGGACTTCTTGTGTATCCTAACCCCACCTAGCAAAACGCCTCTTTGTCCAATGCCTAGTTCCCTTTATAAGGCCATACATTTCTGTGTTTTACACTATCTGTGTCACATGCCTGCTGCACTCGAACATCTCAATGAACTAGCTATTGTTTTCTCTTTTGTTTTGGCTCTTCAAAATACATCTCCAACTCTGCTGTGCCTCTCATAATGATATTCTTCTAGTCGTCCACAGTCCCTTCACACCAATGATTTTTATTCAGCTTCTATTATTGAATCCCTTGGCCATCTCATGGACCTAATAGTCCTTTAACTTGATCTTCACTTCAATCTAACTCAATCTGAACAAAATCACTCACTTTTCTAGCTCCCTATAATTTACTCCCACTCATCAAATCAACTTCATAAATAGATCTCTGGGCTTTCAATTTCCTCCCAGATTAACAACCTTAATGGTTTCTCTTCCCCTATATAGGCTGAAACCAATAGTTGATCAACTCCTCTCTCACTGATTCCCTTCCATTGCTATCCTTCTACCAAACCCACTCAATGAAACCCTCAATCTTTCAATCACTGTAATTCACCTTCTTCATTCATGAGAGGGAAAAAAAAAAATCAGATAATCTACACAGGCCAATGTTATTAAATCATTATCTCCAACCTCAGCTTACTTAGAATTAGCTGACAAATCTTTTACTTGTCCTTGGACGGTTCCATCTCACATTCACTTCAACATAAATTCTAAGTCTTCATTCACTATGCCACTCTCCTTAAGGCCCCTAACTTACCTCACTTTCCTCAGCATATAATCTTGCTCAAAAATTGATCTCTTACAAAATTGTCTGCATCCATTTTTGTGTACTTGAGCTCAATCAATTCCTTTTTCCTTTTATGTTACGTAAAGAATACAGAAACAAACTACTCTACTACTAGACTCCTCTATGTCCTCTATGTAATTCAGTTCTAAAAATTGTCAAGGAGAAAGCAACAAAAAAAATCAAATGGTTCAGCTAATAAAAGATTTGGTGACTTGCTAGAGTCTCAATGTATGTGTTCCTCAGAAATTTATATGTTGAAATCCTAATCTCCAAGACATTTGGAGGCTGGACCTTTGGAAAGCAACTAGATCATGAAGGCTGTGTCGATTATACAAAAGACCTCAGAGACATCAGAAACAGGCCTTTACTACACTGAATCTGCCTATACCTGGATCTTGGACTTTCTAGCCTCTAAAATTATGAAAAATTGATTTGTATTCTTTATATGAGAAATTTGAGGTACTGAGGTAGTGAAGTGGACTAAGATTTATAAACACATCTGATGCAAATAATTCATATTATAGGAATTTAAAAATAAAAAATTATTTAGGCACAGTAAGATACTTTTCATAAACTAGCCATAAGGTGGACATTTAATATCTCCTTTTACTACATACCTGCTAAATGTCTGAGAGTCTTTGGCACAGCGTCAGGAGATACCCTCAACATTCTGAGATTTGAAGAATGATATTCTGACTCTCTGGTTGGCTCATGAGGAACAAATGGAGGCAATATAGATGAAAAAGACTGATTAATGCCCAGATTAGAATGACTTACCTATGAAATGAGAAAAGAAATTAAGAAAATAAGATATTACTTTCAGACTTCATCTGCTCAAGAACCCTCTGGCAATATCTGACAAAAACAGATGGGCAATGGAACCAGAGAACACCGCCAATTTACCATTTTCTAGTACAAACACACAAAATGATAATATAAATACAGAGAGGGAATGCATAAATCCACAAGTATGCTGTTCACTTGGAAAGAGGATAGTGAGTTCTCTTTAAGGACTCTCACTAGTGTGGATATTAAGCAACTCAATATCATTAATGGAGAAAAGCTGGTTCTTGTCATTTTCAAGATACCTCTGAAGTCAAATTTTTCAGGAGCTTCTAAATAGGAATATTTGAATATTCCAGGGATACTCCTCTTTTAAAACTAGAGAAGGTAAAAAGTACCATCATTTGAACTAACATCCCATGAATGAGTTCAATCTTAACACAATCCTAAAGACTCTTGTTAACACAACACTGAAGAGTTAGAGTGTCTCAAAATGAAAGGCTTGGGAGCTCAGTGGATGACCTGAGATACCACAGCACTCATTAAGTCTTATGGTCTATCAAATATAAACATTTCTTTTATATCAACTTCTAGTAAGTTAATGGAGCATATTCCTGGATAGCAGATGAGGACCAGGTTACAAGTCACAAGTTGCTATTAGAAGATTTAAATGGGCCTTTAACATCCAATACCAATGTTGAACTAAAGTATTCCTTTCCCCATTTATAAGTATAAAAAAATAAACTTACAGGCTCTTGATAATTGCTCTCTTCCTCGGATGGCTGTTGTGAAGCAGGTTGACAATCCTGGGAGCTGTCACAAAGATCATCGAGCAAATTTTCTAAAGCTGCTAGCTCAGTGCACTCACCAGTCACATCATGTTGCTCACATGTCTGGGAAATGGTAAAGAGTAAAATAAAAACAAGTAATACCATTTCCTGAAATAATACTGGAGAAGACCATGCTTCCCACAACTATCACATTATTGTGCCTCACCTCTCTTTGTAGTTCAGCAACTCTTTGACTGCACACAACAGCATTTTCATCTGGGTTACAGCACTCAGTACCATCATCCACTGTAATGATCTCAGACGCAGCCTTCCCCTGCGGGCCCTCTACAAAATAGGGGTCATTTTGCATAATTGTATGAATACTAAAACTGGACTCAACTCCTGTAGGCTGAGGAATTTCACTTTGGCCTATATCAGCTTTCAGCAACGTCTCTTGGCCAACTGTAGTTAATGATGCATCTTTCGTCAGTGGTAAAGCACCTTGTGACTCTGCATCACATGCCACCAAGTTTGCCGAAGAGCTGCTTCCTACAGCTGCAGATAGACCTTCAGTGGTGTCACTAAAGTCTACATCCTGACCCAAACTACAGTGTGAGGATTCTATAACTTCTTCAAAGGTTTGCTGCTTTAAATCTTGTAAAACCAAAGAACCAGAAGTTGATACTTTCATTGAATAAATATCGTTTGAAGATCCTACCTTCTCTGCAAGGTCAAGAGCAGAAACAGACTTTATCTTCCCTATGGGAAGAAACATTTCATTGTTCATATCATACTGAAATAAAGCTGACTGTGTTTTGCCAAGACCAATAGACTGGTTGTAAGATTTTTCACTTAAAGAAGCAGGTGACTTAAGCTCTGGGATAACAGAAAGTGGCTTAATGAGAATTTCCTGAAAAGAATTAGGGGATGATTTTAAACTGGGATGCCAGTAAAGGGAGCTATCATCATCATCTTTTTTATGCAACAATAGTTTTGAAGCTGCTGGTTCAAACACCCCAGGAGTAGACTGATAGCATGGATGCTTAAGCTCATCAAAGAAAGAGTTTTCATCATTATAGTTAAATGGGGAAAGACATGGGCTTTTTGGTTCTCTCTCTTGGCTGTCATCTCTTAAAGACTTACTGATTTCATTTACGGTACTCTCATCCTTGGAAGACTCAATAGAAGCAATAACAGCCTCAAAGGCTACATTTTCTGTGGCATCAACATTTTTCTCACCAAAAACAGAAGTTGCCTTTTGGTTTCTTTCCTCTTCAAAATACAGTTGTTCTGATGTCTCATCCAAGTTGGATTTAACAGTCTGAAGAAGACCACCAGAAGCCTCCATCTTAGAAAGATCATGTCCCCTGGAAAGTACATATGCTTCCGAAACTTTTACAGAATTATCAGGAACTATAACCTTCCCAATATACGGTATTTCTGAAGGTCTGGGATGCACCTCTGAAGATAGGAAGTTATTTTTGGTCTCCTTTTGTTTAAGACACGGAGATACTTCTTTCTGCACATCTTCCTTTCCTTCATAACCTCCCAAAGAATCCACATTTTGTTTCACCCCGTTCTCAGCTGGGGCCCTTAGACAAACACTCTCCAGGTAACGACTATCTGAAGTCAAGGGAGTCCCTTTTCTTCTTCCTTCCAACAAACATCGCAAGAAAGAATATGACATTCTATTAGGAGGAGGAGGAGTAATTTCATGTGGAAAAGAAACACGGTCCTGATTAGTTGGATGTGTTTCTGCCTGCTGTAAAGTTTCCTGTTTCCAAAATTGCACATGTGAACAAGAAGCATCAAAGCTGTCACTTCTTTTAAAAGCTACGGTTTCTTCACTTACTTCAGATGAAGCTGAAGTTGAAACTTGATCAACTAAGTTGGTTTCTGACTGCTGCATATCTTTTCGTGTCTTCCATGAGATATATGAAGAAGCAGCATCATAATTATCAGAGTCTTTGGATGTTTTCTGTTCATCGGCAGTATCAGATGAAATACTCTCTTCCTTATTCTCTTGTTCAGGAGGTAAAAGAGAGTGCTGAGACCCAGCAGCTGGGGTACTTATAAGTGGATGCTGAGAAATACTAAGGTAACTGTTAACTAAGTCAGAGGCTACTTCTGATGTAGCCTGGAATAAAGCTTCACTAACTTCAGATGGTCGGGAAAACCATTCAGTATCTTCAGACTTATCAGGAATTCCCCTGAAAATAAAGTTATAAAAGTTTAGATAAGTAACACATTAAAACATGAAATTACAGTACTGATATGACACCAAAATTAAGTTTTTTAAAAAATTATCATTAACTATCCTTCTGAATATCATAGCTTAGCAATACAGTTCACTACAGAGTGTGAGTTATTAAAAAAAAAAAAAAAAAAAGGGCCGGCGCCGCGGCTCACTAGGCTAATCCTCCACCTTGCGGCGCCAGCACACCGGGTTCTAGTCCCGGTCGGGGCACCGGATTCTGTCCCGGTTGCCCCTCTTCCAGGCCAGCTCTCTGCTGTGGCCAGGGAGTGCAGTGGAGGATGGCCCAAGGACTTGGGCCCTGCACCCCATGGGAGACCAGAAGCACCTGGCTCTTGCCTGCGGATAGGCGCGGTGCGCCGGCAGCAGCGTGCCGGCCGTGGCGGCCATTGGAGGGTGAACCAATGGCAAAGGAAAACCTTTCTCTCTGTCTCTCTCTCTCTTCACTGTCCACTTTGCCTGTTTTAAAAAAAAAAAAAAAAAAAAAAAAAAACTGGGGCTAGCTGTGGGGAGCAACTCGGACTAGACTAAGTTACTGGAATTAAGACTTATTCTATGCATCTACTCTCCCACAATATGGCGCTGAGAGAAAGAGACCAAACAATCTCTACGCAGCTGCCTCATCAGTTTGACAAGCTGCAAGAGCTGATCCTGCTCCTGATTGGAGGAGAGCAGCGTGCTCGGCGTGTGGGTAGCAGAGTTGGGATTGGTGGAAGAGGACTATAAAGGAGGAGAGAGACAACATGCACCAACGAACATCCGGATAACATCTGAGCAGCCCCTGAGAGAGCCGGCCAGCGGTGTGCCACTCCTCCGCGGAAGCGGGGAAAGTGGCAGGGGGGCCGCCCCTCCACGGAGGTGGAAGGGTCGGCAGCCAACCCAGGAAGGACCAGCAGCAAACCCGGGAAGGGCCGAGCAGACGAAAGAACAGCGCAGGGTCCTGTGTCCTTCCTCCGCGAATGGGGGAGCGACAGCTAGCACTGTGGCGCAACAGGTAAAGCTGCCACCCATAGTGCTGACATCCCATATGGGTGTCGATTCAAGTCCCAGCTGCTCCACTTCCGATCCAGCTCTCTGCTATAGCATGGGAAAGCAGTGGAAGATGGCTCAAGTGCTTGGGCCCCTGCACCCACGTGGGAGACCCAAAAGAAGCTCCTGGCTGCTGGCTTCAGATTGGCGCAGCTCCAGCTATTGTGACCATTTGGAGATGAACCAGCAGATAGAAGACTTCTATTTCTCTCTGCCTCTGCCTCTGCCTCTCTATAACTCTGACTTTCAAATAAATAAATAAAACAAAAATAACTATAGTATATAAATTATATCAATTTGACAAATATTTAAAATAAAATTTGACATTCACTATATTTGCAGCAAAAGTTTTACTCTTTTTTAATGTTAACTCTCCCTACATAAGGAAAACTGATATGCCAATGATATCAATCTTAATTGAAAAGTGTGTTAAAAAAACAAAGTTCTCAAATAAAATAAAATTTTTTTTAATTTTAGAAAAAACAATTTCTAACTTCAAATTCCTTTGAAGTGACTAATGATTGAACAAAGCAAAATTTTCTGCCACCAGAAGGTGAACTATAATCCTACGACCCTGATATTAACTGATTTCTGAAACAAGAGACATGGAATCTGGTTTTTATATCACCAAAATAGTCACTTAAAAACTCAAAACAATTTTTGATCATTACTATTTTAAGTGCTTAGTTTATCAACTATCAAGACTTAATATTTATTTAATGTGCATTAATCTTTTCATTAGTTATTTATTATACTTTTTTTAAAGATTTATTTATTTATTTGAAAGGCAGAATTACAGAGAGGCAGAGGCAGAGGCAGAGAGAGAGGTCTTCCATCCACTGGTTCACTCCCTGAATGGCCGCAACGGCTGGAGCTGTGATGATCCGAAGCCAGAACCCAGGAGCTTCCATCCGATCTCCCAGGGGCTCAAGCACTTGGGCCATCTTCTACTGCTTTCCCAGGCCATAGCAGAGAGCTGGATGGGAAGTGGAGCAGCTGGAACTCAAACTGGTGCCCATATGGGATGCCGGCACTGCAGGCAGCAACTTTACCTGCTATGCCACAGTGCCAGCCCCTATTTATTGAACTTTTAAAAGACACTCAAGAAGTGATCTACTCTCAGAACACACTGTGAACTTAATCACTGGTTGACAATTACCTGTGAACAGAGTATTTTTTATAAAAGTTATTATAAAGTAATATACAGCATAAACAGAGCTTACATTTTCTAAACATATATAATTTTCAACTTAAAGTGGGCATTTTTTTAGTTTAAAAGAAAAAAGTATATTCTTAAATAACTACAAATATATTTTGAAGAATTCAGACTTTTTCTTCCATTATGACTAAAGAACATTAATTTGGAATATCTATTAATTTGTAATAAAAACCTTGTTACTCCACTACAACATAAGAACTAACTAGGCTCATTGAACAACAGCTGACCAAAGTAAGAGTGCAAAACAAGTTAGTGACTCCAAACGAATGCTTTTTGCAGAATGAGGATGAAAGAGAGGGGAGCAATAATGGAGGTTTGTAAGAAGGAAAATGTAGGGGCCAGCAATGTGGCATAGTGGGTTAAGCCTCCGCCTGTGGTGCCAGCATCACATGTGGACACCGGTTTGAGTTCTGGCTGCTCCACTTCAGATCCAGCTCCCTGTTAATGTGCTTGGTAAAGCAGTGAAAGGTGGCCCAAGTCCTTGGACCCCTGCCCCTAATGGGAGACCCGGAAGAAGCTCCTGGCTTCAGACAGGCCCAGCTCCAGCCGTCACAGACATTTGGGGAGTGAACCAGCGGATGGAAGATCTCCCTCTCTGCCTCTGCTTCTCCTTCTCCTTCTCTGTAACTCTGCCTTTCAAGTAAAAATTAAAAAAAAAAAAGGAAAATGTAATGTTTTTCTACATCAAACTATGCCTGAAATCTAGAATACATTAAAATTTTTTAATAAATTAGTCACCTGGCTCATTTCTGCATCATGTCAAAATTTCAGGCTTTTTTACCTACAGAATGTGTGCTAAGAATATCTAACTCCACCCAGAAGTCCCATCTTAGCCTGAAATCAATATAAGTAACAACTCAGAGCAAGAAAAGGTTACATACAAATAAGTCAGTCATCCTACCTCAGAGGTGCAAACTCCAGTTCACTTTGGTGAAATAAGGAATCAGCCCCAAACTCTTGGTCTTGTGTCATACATGTCAGCAAAGGCAAATCAGGAGAAGCAAAGTTATCTTGTATGACTGTAAAATTTAAAATATGAAAAATGATTGTTTAACTTTTTCATGTAATACTTTAAAGTACTTAAATATGCTACCATCTGGAAGTTTCTACAAGTATTAGAATAATAAAAGAAGGATAGACATTTATCCTAGCAGTTAAGACACTAGTTGGGACACCCATACCCTATATTGGTATGCCTGGGTTCAAGTCCTACATCCATTCCCAATTCCAGCTTCTTGCTAGTGCACACCCTGGTAGACAGCAAATAATGCCTCAAGTAATTTGCTTTCTGCCATCCACATGGGAGGCCTAGACTGCATTTCTGGCTCTCAGCTTCAGCCTAGCCTAGGCCTAGCCATTGTGAGTATGTGAGTATCTGAGTAGTGGGATAAGTAGCTGAAGGGGCCAGCATTGTGGTACAGTAGATTAAGCTGCCACCAATGACACCAGCATCCATATGAGCAACCAACTGTTCAGGACCTAGTTACTCCACTTCAAATCCAGCTCCCTGCTAATGCACCTAGGAAAGCAGCAGCAGATAACCCAAGTACTTGGTCTCCTGCTACACAAAAGGAAGACCCAGATGTAGTTTTAGGTTCCTGGCTTCACCCAGCCCTGACTGTTGCAGCCATTTGGGGAGTGAACCAGCAATGGAAGATCTCTCTTTCTTTGACTCTTCCTCTCTCTCTAAAACTCTGCCTTTCAAATAAATAAATAGATCTTTAAAATTAAAATTAAAAAAAAGTGGCTGAAAAGGGCTGCCATTGTGACACAGCAGTTTAGGCCATCATTTACAATTCCAGCAACCCATATCAGAGTGCTGATTTGAGTCCAGGCTGCTCCACTTCCAATCCAGTTCCCTGCTATTGACTCTGGAATTATAGCAGACGATGGCCCAAATGCTGGGGTCCCACATGGGACACCAGGATGGAGTTTGTTTCCTGGCTTCAGTCTGACCCAGCCCTAGCTATTATAGACTTGGGGAGTGAACCAAAGGATAGAATATATCCCTCCCTCCCCCTCTTTCTCTCTCTCTCTCTCCCTTTCCCTCTCTTTCTCTCCACCCCTGACCCCACCAACATGCCTTTCAAATACAAAAAATAAGCATTTTTTTTCTCTCTCTCTCAAATAAAATTTTTAAAAGAATAGTATAACAGCTACCTCTTATTGAGAGTCTGATAGTCCATTTACTCAACATAGACCATTACATTTAACCATCATGACAACCTTGAAGGATTGTTATAACTGTCTTACAGGGGAGAGGCCACGATTACAAAACTATAGAATAATCTGTCCATATTTAAACAGCTTAAAAGCCAGAACAAGAGTTGAACCTATGCATTTGAATTTTTAAGCAAACCCTCTTAACTATTGTTTCTTTCTATCTTAAAATATTTTTTAAAGATTTTATTAATTTATTTGACAGGTAGTGTTATAGACAGTGAGAGAGAGACAGAGACACAGAGACAGAGAGACAGAGAGACAGGTCTTCCTTCTGTTGGTTCACTCCCCAAATGGCTGCAACAGCCGGAGCTACACTGATCCGAAGCCAGGAGCCAGGTCTCCCATGCGGGTGCAGGGCCCAAGCACTTGGGCCATCCTCCACTGCTTTCCCAGGCCACAGCAGAGAGCCTGACTAGAAGAGGAGCAACCAGGACTAGAACCGGCACCCATATGGGATGCCGGCACCGCATCTTAAAATAAGGTGGAGGATTAACCTAGTGCGCCGCAGCGCCAGCCCCTCCATCTTAAAATAAAGACTACATATTTCAAACCAAAGTGTGGTCCAGGGCCTCCTGGGCCCTAAGACAGTCTTATGTGCCTCAGGTCAAAATCATATTCCATATTTTACAATATCACCCCGGCCTTATTTACTCTCATTCTCTCAAAAAGGCATACTAGCACTTTCAACAAGTTACTTCATGTAGGACGGACCAACAAATTGAATGCAAAAGCAGTTACCAGACACTTGCTATCTTTTATTAAGTCAAACATAACTGAGTTGTAATTGTTTAAAGTAAAAAAAAAAAAAAAAGGCCTTCTTCTAAGTATTTTTGTTTTGTAAAATAGTTACTTTAATAGTGCTTTATGTTACTATGCAATGGGGTGGTTATATTTAAATGAAATGATAAATGGTTTAATTTTCAGCTTTAATTTCTAACATGGAAAATATCAATAGCCCACAAAAATAAAAGATCTTTGGATCAGGGCCGACACTGTGGCTTAGTGGGTAAAGCCGCCACCCCAGTGCTGGCATCCCATATGGGCGCCAATTCTAGTCCCAGCTGCTACACTTCCAACTCAGCTCTCTGCTATGGCCTAGGAAGGCAGTAGAGGATGGCCCAAGTCCTTGGACCCCTGCACCTGTACGGGAGACCCGGAGAAAGCTCCTGGCTCCTGGCTTCGGATCAGCACAGTTGGGGAGTGAACCAGTGGATGGAAGACCTCCCTCCCTCCTTCCTTTCCTCCCTCCCTTCCTCTCTCTCTCTGCCTCTCCTTCTCTCTTTATGTAACTCCTCCGAATAAATCTTTAAAAAAAAAAGTCTTTGGCATTATCCATAATTTTAACATGTATAAAGGAGTCCTGTTACCCAACAAGTTTGAGAATTACTGTTTTAATGGGGAAAAAAATGTTTGTGATTTCCTGGATGTTAGTTTAAATGATTCTTACTGTAATTCCCTTATAGTATTTATACAACCACAAAACAAAAAGTTAAATATTAACAGAAATTTTGTTACAAAACCAACAAAATTAATTTAACTTGATGGGTGATGTTTTGCTAAAACTAAATTGCTTTTTCAATATGGATGTAGTTCTGATTGCTGTAGCATACTTTCATGATTTCAGAATATTAATAGTATTATGCACAATGGCTGGCGCTGTGGCTCAATAGGCTAATCCTCCACCTGCGGCACAGGCACACGGGGTTCTAGTCCCCATCGGGGCACCGGATTCTGTCCTGGTTGCTCCTCTTCCAGTCCAGCTCTCTGCTGTGGCCCAGGAAGGCAGTGGAGGATGGCCCAAGTGTTTGGGCCCTGCACCCGCATGGGAGACCAGGAGGAAGCACCTGGCTCCTGGCTATTTGGGGGATGAACACAGAAAGAAGACCTTTCTCTCTGTCTCTGTCTACTCTGCCTGTCAAAAATAAATAAATAAATAGTATTGTGCACAAAGTAGGGACTACATCCTCTCATGCTGCTCCCCTGAAATTACTGTGACCCAAGTGTTCACAGAGCTCACCATGGTGTCATCTGCCCTTCACTTAATACAACAAGCACTCTCTCTGCTCTCACATGCTTTACATACCCTCCCTATCCTAACTCATCACACTTTTAAAAGATTTATTTATTTGAAAGATAAAATGACAAAGAGAGAAGGAAAACAGAAAGAAAAGAAAAGAGCTCTTCCATCCAGTGGTACACTCCCTAAATGCCTGCAACCCAGGATACAGCAACTCCATATGGCTCTCTGCCATGGGTGACAGGAATCCAAGTACTGACCATCACCTGCTGCCTCCCAGGTACCTTAGTGGGGAGCTGGATCAAAAGCACAGAGCTACACACAGAGAGGAGAGGCAGAGAGAGGTCTTCCATCCATTGGTGCCAGAGATGCACCAATCTGAAGCCAGGAGCCAGGAGCTTCCTCCGGATCTTCCCATGTGGGTACAGGGGCCTAAGGACTTGGGCCATCTTCCACTGCTTTCCCAGGCCATAGCAGAGAGCTGGATCAGAAGTGGAGCAGCTGGGTCTCGAACAGGTGCCCATATGGAATGCATGCACTGCAGGCGGCAGCTTTACTTGCTATGCCACAGTGCCGGCCCCAGAATAAACTATTTTTAAGCATAGTCCAGAGCCTTATTATTCACAGGATGCCTTTGTATTAACTAAAACATTCTCTTTTTTAAAAAAGTATTTACCGAATTAACTAAAAATTATAAACTGAGGGTGGGCATTTGGCAGAGGTTTAAACACCACTTGGGACATCTACATTCCATATGCGAGTGCCTGGGTTAAGGACCAGTTGTGCTCCCAATTCCAGCTCCCTGCTAATGCACACCTTGATAGGGAGCTAATAATGGTTCAAGTACTTGGGTCTCTGGCACCCACATGAGACACTGGGACTGAATTCCCAGCTCCTGGCTTCCTTCAGGCTGGCCCGGCCCAACTGTCGTGGACATCTGGAGAGTGAACTTGTAGATAGGCGACTTCTGCCTCTGTCTTACAAATAAATAATTATTACATAAAAAGATCACAGAAAATAACTTTTACCACTAAGGAACAACTGATATGATTCTTCATTGCTCTTGGATTAGAGAATTAGTATTAAACCTTCCTAAGAAATGCTGTTAACTCCTCTAAAAATCATGAAGGTCTTTTAACAAAGCAATGAATATATCAGGGCCTATGATACAACAGAGTCCCTTGAGCAAATATAACAAATTTACTGTTTCCAATTAACAATAAGCTGAGCACTTAAAGAACTAGAGGTTTATGGCTTTTTTCTTGAAATAGTTACTCCTAAGCAGGTTCCAGAACCTACAGAAATCTGTATCTATTACTTATAATAACTATCTAGACATAACAAAGGAATAAGTAATAACTTATAAGCAGCACTTCAGCAAATCCTTAAGTATTTGACTATTTCAGGGTAGAACTGAAGAGTTAGACCAGATCAATGAAGAAACGTACTTTCTCAAGGAGCAGGCTAAAATTGAAGAGTTAATCATTCTGAACTGTACAGTATATGTACATGTTTGAGTGTTGGGAAGGTTGTGTATCTCACCAACAATGCCTTTTTCTTACAACTCTAAACTGTTTCTTTCCTCATGTTTGGACAGCTGGATTGGTTTCCTCTATTTTTGAGATATCTGACCATTCTGGCACCAGTAATCATCAACAACATCTGCTATTGGTGAGAGGATACCTACCACAATCACAGTATTTATGCACACAGCAATGATGGAATCTCCCTCGCAACCCAATTCAGGGATCTACTCCAATAATTTAAAATATTCTAATTTAACTATAGCAAATGAGTTATAAAACTGCATTAGAGGGGCCAGTGCTGTGGCACAGCGCCTGAAGCGCTGGCATCCCATATGGGCGCCGGTTCGAGACCCGACTGCTCCACTTCTGCTCCAGCTCTCTGCTATGGCCTGGGAAAGCAATAGAAGATGGCCCAAGTGCTTGAGCCCCTGCACTCATGTGGGAGACCCAGAAGAAGCTCCTGGCTTTGGATCGGCACAGCTCCAGCTGTTGCAGCCAATTGGGGAGTGAACCAGCGGATGGAAGACCAACTGACCGACCAACCGACTGACCGACCTACCCCTCCTTTCCTCCCTTCCTCCCTCTCTCTCCTCTCCGTGTAGCTCTGACTTTCAAATAAATAAATAAAACTTTAAAAAAAAAAACTATATTTGAAAACATTTTGAGGATGGCACTGTGATATAGAAGGCAAAACCTCACCCTGCAGTGCCAGCATCTCATTATGGGCACCTGTTCAAGTCTCAGCTGCTCCACTTGCAATCCAGCTCCCTGCTAATGGGCCTGGGAAAGTAGAAGATGGACCAATTTCTTGGGACCCTGCACCCTTGTGGGAGACCTGGTAGAAGCTTCTGGCTTTGGCCTGGCCCAGACCTAGCCATTGTGGCGACTTGGGGAATGAACCAGTGGATGGAAGATTCTCTTCCTTCCTTCTGTCTTTTCTTCCTTCCTTCTTTCCTTCCATCCTTCCTCCCTCCCTCCCTTCTCTCTCTCTTCTTCTCTCTCTACTCTCAATTTTTCTCAAAGAAATAAATTTATTTCTTTCAAATAAATAAAATATTTTTAAAAAATTTTACAATCACATAGTACATAGAAAATCTCTTACACAGTACTAAAATCCTTTTATTACAGAATTTTGCTTGATATTTTGCCATGACATAAAACTCAAATGTTGGGGCTGGCATTACAGCACAGTGAGTTAAGTCATTGCCTGCAATGCCAGCTTCTTATGGGCCACTAGTTAGAGTCATGGGTGTTCCACTTCTGATCCAGCTTCCTACTAATACCCCTAAGAAAGCAGCAGAAGATAGCCAAAGCACCTGCTACCCTTGTGGCAGACTCCAGTGGAGTTCCAGACTCCTAGCTTCAGCTTGGTCCAGCCCTGGCCATTGTGGTCACTTGGAGAGTGAACCAACAGATGAAAGCTCACTCACACACTCTCTCTCTCTCTCTCTCTCAGAGCCAATGTTGTAGCATAAAAGATTCCTCCTGCAACACAGGCATCCCACATGGGCACTGGTTCAACTCCCAATTGCTCCATTTTCAATCCAGCTCCCTGCTAATGTGCTTAGGAAAGCAGTAGAAGATGCCCCAAGTGTTTGGTCCCCTCTACCTCTACCCATGTGGGAGACCAAGAACAAACTCTGGGCTCCTGGCTTTGGCCTGGTCCAGACCTGGTCATTGTAACCATTTGGGAGTGTTGAAGATTTCTCTATTTCTTCCTTTCTCTCTGTAACTCTTTCAAATAAATAAAATAAATCTTAAAAAAAAAAAAACCCTCATTTGTTCTTATAGTTACTGTTATACACTCTTTTCCACTATTAAATGGCCCTATTAGAAAGTTCTTACTTCTATCAAGTTAAAAACAGCTTCCCTATAAGTGATATATTCACATTTTTTTTTATTTGACAGGTAGAGACATAGACGGTGAGAGAGATAGGCACAGAGAAAGGTCTTCCTTCCATTGGTTCACCCCCTAAATGGCCGCTACAGCCAGCGCTGTGCCAATCCCAAGCTTGGAGCCAGGAGCTTCTTCCTGGTCTCCCATGCAGGTGCAGGAGCCCAAGCACCTGGGCCATCCTCCACTGCCCTCCCAGGCCACAGCAGAGAGCTGGACTCGAAGAGGAGCAACCAGGACCAAAACCCAGCACCCATATGGGATGCTGGTGCCCCAGGCGGAGGACTAACCAAGTAAGCCACGGCACCGGTCCCCAATATATTCACATTTTAATCTCTAGACTACGAGTTGGCAAACATTCTGTAAAGGCAGACAGTAAATATTTTAGGTTTTGTTGGTCACATATGGTCTGTCTTTTTTTCTTTTACAATCCTTTAAAAATGCAAAAACTTGGGCAGGCATTGTGGCACAGTGAGTTAAAATGACACCTGCAACACCAACATCCCATGTGGGCACTGGTTCAAGTCCCAGCTGCTCCACTTCTGATTCAGTTCTCTGCTAAGATCTCTCTATCTCTCTCTCTCTCTCTCTCTCTCTCTCTCTCTCTCCTTTTCTCTGTAACTCTGTGTTTCAAATAAATAAATAAATCCATTTTAAAAATGCAAAAACCATTCTTAGTTCATGATCAACACAAATCAAGCCTTGGCCTGTGCAGACCCAAGCAGTAAACCATTATATTTCTCATCACGTGGGACTGTTACTTTCTATTTACTCTTTATCTTCCCAAAACAGGAGACAGCTTTCATCTATAAAACTCTAGCATCAAACACAGTTGGCACTTAGATATTTGTTATATAAAACTGACTTTAATGATCCACACCATAGAATACATTAGCACTACTGTCTTGATTTGGATAGCTTTGGCTTATATTTGAAAATAACCTGCTGAATTAAGTCCTATTCATGTTTCTCTATAAAACTTTAAAATCTTCTTCATGGGTGAATCTCTATGATTTGAAAGGTTGAGTTTATCCTTTGTAAAAAGCTAATAAATAAGTTCAATACTAAACAAAGGAAACCAGTAAGATCTACCCAGACACACCACTAAATCTCTAACTCAGTTTTTTGGTCTGGAAGTTGAAGACAATAACAAATGCCTTAACTGACTCTAAAAAAAATCAAATGAGAGGCCAGCATTTTGGTGCAGCAGGTAAAGCCATTACCTGCAACAATGGCATGCCATATGGACACCAGTTGGTGTTTCAGCTTCTCCACTTCCAACCCAGCTCTCTGCTAATGGCCTAGAAAAGGCAGTGGAAGATGGCTCAAGTCCTTGCGCCCTTGCACTCACTGGGGAGGCAAGGATGAAGGTACAGGCTGCTGGCTTCAGCCTAGCACAGCTCTGGTCACTGCAGCCATTTGGGGAGTGAACCAGTGGATGAAAGAGCTCTCCCTCTCTCTAGCTCACTTGCTCACTCACGCTCTGTTATAACCCTGCTTTTAAAATAAATAAATAAACAAATCTTTAAAAAAAAAAGAATCAGGGTCCAGCACTGTGATGTAGTGGGTAAAGCTGCCACTTGCAGTGCCGGCATCCCATATGGGTGCTAGTTCAAGTCCCGGCTGTTCCATTTCTGATCCAGCTCTCTGCTGTGGCCTGGAAAGGCAGTAGAAGATGGCCCAAGTCCTTGGGCCCTTGTGCCCTCATGGGAGACCTGGAAGAAGCTCCTGGCTCCCAGCGTTGGATCAGCGCAACTCTGGCCATTGCAGCCATCTAGGGAGTGAACCAGTGGATAGGAAGATCTCTCTCTCTCTCTGACTCTGTTAACTCTGCTTTTCAAATAAATACATAAATTTTTAAAATAATAACAATAATATATGGTTTATACCAAGCACACCACCAAAAATTCAGGACTAAGGCGATACACCATCAGCAGGAAGCTATCACCTTTTTGTCTTCTGTAATAGGGCATGACAAAGTAAGGCACAACTGCACAGTCAATACAAGACCAGCTGGCCACTTGGAAAATGATAAATAAGCTAATCCCTTTGCATATAACTCTGTAAAGCGCCTCAACTCAAAAAGGATTTAGTTACATCCAGGGCTTGCAGTCCTGCAAAACTGTTTTACAAATGTGAGGTATTATTACTAGCTACAAATAAAGAGGCATTACCTAGCAACGGAGAACATAAAAGATCTCTATCTCTGTTGGATTCCTTTACTTGATTTTCTGATTGGCTCAATACACTTTCCTCGAGAGAAGAGAAGTCTGTCACTTCGATACCTTCTGTTCTCACATTAAATCTGGTCTGAGATGTATCCAGGGTTTGGGAAGAGTCCGTTTCTTGAGGAAGACAATGCCAAGATTCTGTTTTCTAAAACAATAATTTTAAAGGAAAACATGCTAAGTCATTCACTGAATTACCATACACATTAACATTTAGATCAAAATGTCCACTCACATGGCATACTGCATCCAACTTAATAACATTTTCTCCAAAGTTTGGAAAAAGTAAAACTCTTCCTTTTCTGTTTCCCAGAATATTAAGTACATTTTAGATGTCTTCCCATTACTAACCATCTCCTAAAGTGTTGAACAAATCACTGGTATTTCAGCTATATTTGCAGTTAGTTCTCTTCATTAAGTCGATAGATTTGGTTTTCTTAGATGAAACTTCAGTTTGATTATAAAACTGAAGAAAAAAAATTCCAAAACCCAAAATTGCAGTACAGGTTGAATATCCCTTATCCAAAAAGTTGAAATGATCTGAAGTCCAAAACTTTTGAGCAGACGTTTTAGACTCCAGAACACTTCAGATTTTCAATATTCAGGACATTTTGACCTTCACATTTTCAGGTTAAAAATGCTCAAGTAGTGAAATCTACGCAAACAACCCAAAATCCAAAAACTTCTGAAATCCGAAACACTTCTGACCTCAAGCATTTCGGGTAAGAGATATTCACCTTCTATCTGTGGTCACTCTAAAATTTTCTTAGCAATTCTAATTTCTAGAAGACTCTTGGCTGTTCTCAGAATATAACAGTGTCATATCAACCACAAGCAGTATTCAGCCCCTTAAAATATTTACTCTTATATTACTGGCATAATTTACAGCAACCTTTCTCAAACTAGCTTTTCCAACTTTCAATTCCTTTCAGACTGATATTTTATTAAAATACTAATAATAAACCAATCTTTGAAACTGATCAAAAAGTCTAGAAAATGAAATTTAAAAGGTATATAAGCTAAAATACAAAACATAAGCCCAAATGTTTGATTTCTAGTTGTTAAAAAATTATAAAATTACTCTGTCAAACTGCTATATATGTTTGTAAACACTTCCTTTTAATTTTCATACTTACCTCAACAGAACAGTAAAAAGCAATTCATTAACTGGCATTCACCCACAGATAATATTATGCAGCAATGTTGAATTAAAGTTACATTATTGGGGCCGACGCTGTGGCACAGCAGGTAAAAGCTGCCACCTGCAATGCTGGCACCCCACACGGGCACCAATTTGAGTCCCGGCTGCTCCACTTGCGATCCAGCTCTCTGCTATGGCCTGGGAAAGTAGTAGAACATGCCCCAAGTCCTTGAGGCCCTGCACCCGCGTGGGAGACCCGGAAGAAGTTCCTGGCTTTGGATTGGCACAGCTCTGTCCATTATGGCCAATTGGGGAGGGAACCTGCTGATGGAAGACACACACCCCCCTTTCTCTCTCTCTCTCTCTCCTTCTCTTTCTCTCTCTCCTCTGTGTAACTCTTTCAAATAAATAAATAAATCTTTAAAAAAAAGTTACATTAAATACTAACAGTGGTCATTTTTAAAGACATTTTCCTTTTAAATTTCATATTAGCCAATAAATAAGTCTATTCTTCCTATTGTGCTATGAAAGTATTCTTTTATTCTCATTTTAAATCACAGGAATAGGAATGAACACAAAATTAGATCAAGTTATATTACAGCATCTTTTTTTCCTAATTAAACCTGAAAAAGCATAGAGATACATTTATTTATACTGAAACATATTCATATTTTTTACTTGGTATTAGTAGATCATACTTTTAAATTGTATTTGCTAACATGTTTTAGCACTTTAATACATATACCCATAAAGTCATAAATAAGAGTAATTGGGCATTTTCAAATGCTTTGTTTTCTAGCCTTATTCCATAATGTTTTCTTTATTTACTTTAACAAGGAAATTCAATGTTCCTTAAATTCCTTAAATTCAATGTTCCTTAAAAATATAAAATTTCACCAGTAAATCTATTAGTTCTAAACACTTGTGATATTTGATACTATAATAACTTTTTCAATTTCTTCTTTAGTAATCCTAGAGCACCTGTAAAAATTTTGATAGGTTTGTATAAACTCTATTCCATTCTTTTTCCCTCCTTCCTGGTTGTATTTACCAGGAGTGTACCTACTTTTCCACATTTCTTGAATTAACAATTTTATTGTATCTACTCACCTGTTTCTATTTTCCTCTTTACCATGTTTCCTCTACTTTAGTTTTTCATTCTCTAAAATCTTTAAATAATTTTTCTTTTAATTTTTCTTTATTTAGATAAAACATATATTGATGGCAACCTTAGATATACTAATGCATTGATTTTCCTTATTCTATAAGTAGTCTGTTACTGGATTATTCTTCATTGATCTTAAAATGTTTCTAACAGAATATAGATGCTCTCTTAATTTCCAGATAACCCAGCATCCATGAAAAGATGTATTACAATTTAGAAAAACTCTCACAAACACTTTCCAACAAGACTTTTGTCTTTTAAAGGTATCTCAGTATTTAAAATTCATTAATAAATGATCACATAGTTATTTTTTTAAAAAGACACTCAACCATCTATTATATACTGTCAGTTATGTAAATATATGCAAAGAAGAAAGACTGGAGAGAAATATGCTAAAATACCAACACTATTCACCATTGACTTGTGAGATTCTGGGGCATCAGATCTTTGACCATCCCTAATAGCCTACTATTCTATGCTGGATAAATTAGTCAAAATCATACTCAGGTTTCAGAGCTTGAAAACTAATTTTGAGGTTTATCAGAGAAAAATAAAGCAGTAAAGGATGTTGAAAAAGAATAATCAGAGGAATAGAAAGAAAATCAGTAAAATCCATAAAAGGAAATCACTTTAAGAAATTATGCAATGGTTAACAGTGTCAAATGTTATTTATTGCACCTAAGATGAAAACAGAAATGTATTCACTGTATTCAGCTATACAAATGTCAATGACACCTGCTTTCCCAGGGTTTGGGTCAAAACAAAGTAGATCAAACTGAAGAAGAGGAGGATTCTAGCCAATGCACTAGTAATAAAATGAAATATAAACCAAATACAATAAAAGGAAAAAATAAAATACAACTGATATGATTGCCTACATAGAAAGTCCTAAAGACTCTTCCATAAATAGCTAATAGTTATAGTAAATGAGATTAGCAAGATCACGGAATACAAAGCTAATATAAAGAGTCAATTATATTTCTATCTATGAGAGTGCTTCAAAAAGTTTGGGAAAAAAAGGAATGACAAGATAACTTTAAAGATGGGCATTCAAGGGCTGGCCCTGTAGCATAGTGGGTAAAGCTGCCACCTGCAGTGCTGGCAGCCCATATGGGCGCCAGTTTGAGTCGTGGCTGCTCTACTTCTGATCCAGCTCTCTGCTATGGCCTGGGAAGGCAGTACAAGATGGCCCAAGTCACTGGATCTCCACACCCGTGCGGGAGACCCGGAAGAACCTCCTGGCTTCAGATCAGTGCAGCCCTAGCCATGGTGGCCAATCGGGGTGGGAACCAGCAGATGAAGACTAATCTCTCTCTCTCTCTGCAGCTCTTTCAAATAAATAAATCTTAAAAAAAAAAAAAAAAAAAAAAAAAAGATGGGCACTTGACCTAGTGGTTAATCCACCATTTGGGATGCCTGCATCTCATATTGGAGTGTCTGGGTACAAGTTCCAGCTTCCAGCTAACACACACCCTGGTGGCAACAGGTGATGCCCTAAGCAGCTGGATTCCTGCCACCACTTTGAGGACTTAGATTATGTTCCTGGTTCCCAGCTCTGGCCTGAGAAAACCAGGAAATGGGAGCTCTGTCTGTCTCTCAAATAATAATAAAAACTTAAAAAATTAAATAGAAAGCTAAGTTTAGCTTGGTGCAAAAACAATTCCAGGAGCCAGGCTGCAGTGTAGCCAGCACATGGAAGATCTCTTTGTTTCTCCCTCTCTATATATAACTCTTTCAAATAAATAAATCATTTTTTAAAAAATGTTAAGATCCATGCATTTTTTCATGGTAAGCATTTTCCATGAACTTTATAATAATTTTTCTTTCTGCCTAACAGTCTTCAAGCTACGACATCAGTTTTCAGCTTTCAGTTCCAGATCATATGTTCTCCTGGTTCTCAAGCCTTTAGTCTTGGACAACAACTATACAACTATACAACAACTATACAAGCACCAACAGCTCTCCTGAGTCTTCAGCTTACAGATCTTGGGACTTCTCAGCCCCTAGAGTCATAGAGGCCAATTCTTTTTACTAAATCTCTTTATTAACATCCATCTTTAACATCCATTTTATTGATTCTATTTCTTTTTAAATATTTATTTTCATCTTGAAAGGCAGAGCAAGAGTGACAGCAAAAGCAAGAGAGAAAATCTTCCATCCACAGGTTTGTTCCCCTAATCACCAATTGTCTTCCACTAAGCCAGACCTTAGGGGTCAACATTATGGCATAGTGGGTTAAGCTGCGGCCTGCAGGACCAGCATCTTATATGGGTGCCGGTTTAAGTCCTGGCTGCTCCTCTTCAGATCCAGCTCCCTGCTAAGAGCCTAAGAAAGTAGCGGAGGATGGCCCAAGTGCTTGAACCACTCCACCCACGTGGGAGACCTGGCAGAAGCTCCTGGCTCTTGGCTTCAGCCTGGCCCAACTCCAGTCATTGCAGCCATTTGGAGAGTGAACCAACAGATGGAAGAGCTCTCTCTGTCTCTCCTCCTCTCCCTCTCTATGTAACTCTGACTTTCAAATAAATAAATAAATCTTTTTAAAAAGTCAGACATTAAAGAGATCTGTAAAAATGTAAAACAATGCTACTCTTCTAATTCTTCTTGTTTGTTTTGGGAAAGTCACCTTTCACATTAAAACATTGTTAAAGGGGGCTGGCATTGTGGTGTAGTAGGCTAAGCAAGCCTCAGCCTGTGGCGCCAGCATCCCATATGGACACCCAGCTGCTCTTCTTCCAATCCATCTCCCTGCTTATGACCTAGGAAAGCAGTAGAAGATGGCTCAAGTGCTTGGAGCCCTGCACCCACGTGAGAGACCTGGAAGAAGCATCTCGCTCCTGGCTCCTGGCTCCTGGCTTGGGATCAGCCCAGCTCTGGCCATTGTAGCCATTTGAGGAGTAAACCATTAGATTGAAGACCTTTCTCTCTGTCTTTCCCTCTATCTGTAACTCTGCTTCTCAAATAAATAAATATATATAATTAATATATATTTTTATTTACGGAGGTGGACATTTGACACAGCAGTTGTCACTTGGGACACCCACATCCCATATCTGGAATGCCTTGGCTCCTTTGTTTCTGATCCAGTGTGCACTTTGGTAAGAGACTGTGTAAGCCCCAGCTCTATCTACCAGGAAGCAAACAAACGACATTCAGGCAAAGGAACTGGTTCAAATCAGTTGGATCCAACATGGTGTCCAGATTAACTGCAGTGGACCTCCAACTTCATTATAATACATTAGCATAGTAAAATCACTCTCTTGCACCATGAAAGTTTACAATTTCCAGGACAGCCTACTGAAACAACCATCCAAGGAGATTAGAGGTGGATCCCTAATTCTTAGAAGTTGCTTCCCCCTTCCCAAAAATAAGATAAATATTCTACCCAGATATTAACATTCATTTCCTGGAACTCAAAATGCCAAACCCCAACCACACTCAGGGCTGCTCTGTCTGTGGAGAATCCTGTTCTTTGCCACTTTCTTTAATAAAATTCTTGTTTTCATTTTGCTGGGTCACAACTGATTCCTATCCCTCACTTAGGCCAAAGACTCTCCTGAGGGCATGAAGGGGCCCACACAGCTGTCCAGTATCATTGGGAAGCAGCAGTGATGGCACAAATACCTGGATCAGTATCAACCACATGGGAGACCTGCATTGAGTTCTGGGCTTGGGGCTTCTGTTTGGCCCAGGCTCAACAGTTATGGCCATCTGGAGAGTGAACCAGAAAATGGATGATCTCTCTCTGCCTGTCTCTCTCTGTGTCTCTCTGCTTCTGTGTGTGTATGCATGTGTTTGTGTGTCTGCTTTTCAAATAAAATGAAAATACATAAAAATTTTAAAATAAAATATAATGGGTTTATTGTTTTTAAATAGATTTTAAATATTTTAATTTTGAATGGTAAATATCTAAAGAATCCTTTTTAAGAATATGGAGTCCTGGCCAGCGCTGCGGCTCACTAGGCTAATCCTCCGCCTTGCGGCGCCGGCACACCGGGTTCTAGTCCCGGTTGCCTCTCTTCCAGGCCAGCTCTCTGCTGTGGCCAGGGAGTGCAGTGGAGGATGGCCCAGGTGCTTGGGCCCTGCACCCATGGGAGACCAGGAGAAGCACCTGGCTCCTGCCTTCGGTTCAGCGCGGTGCACCGGCCGCAGCGTGCCGGCCACAGCAGCCATTGGAGGGTGAACCAACGGCAAAAGGAAGACCTTTCTCTCTCTCTCTCTCTCTCTCTCTCTCTCTCACTGTCCACTCTGCCTGTCAAACAAAAAATAAGAGAATTATGGAGTCCTAAGATTTAAAATAAAAAGAAAAGTGAACTGCTATTCTACAGAAAGGTCTATTAGGAAATAAGGATGTTAGAGTCATTTAGACTTTCCATTCTTCACAGCTAAATCAGAATTTCTTGCACTGTTTATCAAAAGAAAAACTGCTTGACAATTACAGAAGACATACCTGATCATCCCCAGAACCCCACTGAGTTGTTGTTTCCAAAGAGACAGCGTTAGTATCAGAAATTTGTGTTCTACTACTGCCTTGATATAATGACTGTTGCCATACACGACAGGTCAATGGAACCTGAAAATCAAAAGCAGACTTAAATATAGTAATAATGCCACTATGACTGTATAGTGATAAAAGTAACCTAATATTTAGATCACATTTCTCAGCTGGTAAATTACTTTTCACATGTATAACATTTCAACTTCACAATCACTGTCCAAGTTATAATTCTCATCTGAAAATAAGGAAACCGGGACTTTAGGTTTTCAAGTTAGGACCCAACATACTTTCCCACAAGCCACAGCAGTTCCTTAATCTCCTACACCAACAGAAGTAAGAGAAGCAAAAAGAAACAAGTTGTTGGGGCCAGCCTTGTGGCTCAGCAGGTTAAGCTGTCACCTGGGATAATGCCAGCAATGGATTCTCCACTTCCAATCCAGCTCCCTGCTAACATGCCTGGGAAAAAAAGTGGAAAATGGCCCAAGTCTCTGGGCCCCTGCACACATGAGGGAGATCCAGATGAAGCTCCTGGCTCTTAGCTTTAGCCTAATCCAGCGCCGGCTGATGTGCAGCCATTTGGGGAGTGAATCAGTGGATGGAAGTTCTCGATCTTGATATCTCTCTCTCTCTTCCCCTCTCCCTCTCTCTCAAATAAAATAAGTCTTTTTTAAAAAGTTGTATATTTTAAATCTTACTGCTTAAAACAGCTAAGAAATTCAGTTAACAAAAGAAACTAAAATCAACTCATATCACAGGGAAAACGAACAAAAGTCAGGGTCTTTTTATGAAGTCAAGGCTTGAAGCAAAACTCTCTGTCCTGTGAAAAAGTCAATGAAATTTATGGTTGAAAGATGCATAGGAAAGATCAAAGGCAATCAAACAAAAGTGGCCCAGGTCAAGCCATTGCCTCACAGGTTTAGAGGCTGCTTTTGAAAGTTTTTCCAATATCCTTGAGAAGCGGAACCAAAAGCTTCTATTAAAAGACATTCTTGGGGCCAGCGCAGTGGCATAGCAAGTAAAGCCACCATCTGCAGTGCCAGTATCCCATATGGGTGCTAGTTCTGGTCCTGGCTGCTCCTCTCCCGATCCAGCTCTCTGCTATGGCCTAAGTCCTTGGGCCTCTGCACTCATGTGAGTGACCCAGAGGAAACTCCTGGCTTCAGATCGGCACAGCTCCAGCCATTGCAGCCAACTGGGGAGTGAACCAGCAGATTTAAGACCTTTCTCTCTCTCTCTCTCTCTCTGCTTCTCCTTTTCTCTGTATGTAACTCTTTCAAGTAAATAAATAAATCTTAAAAAAAAAAAAGATATCCTTATAAAGAAGCCACAAGGGGAAGACAGAAACAACCACAAAAACAGCAGGTAGAGAAGGATGAGCACACAGAAAGGAAAAGAAACAATATTCCTGCTAGAAATGAGATTGCAAATTACACTACTAAAGAACTTTACAAAAAGAATATTTCATATCCTCAGACATAAAAATACAGCATCAAAAAAAGAGGTCATAAATTAAAACAAGTAAGTTCTAACAAAAAATTACTAATCTAAAATGTGCAAGTCATGGAAAAGGTTGAGGTAAGTACTAGAGAAAACACAAAGGTAAAATATGTGACCTGTAAGTTCTTACCCAAGTTAGCACAGAGGGTTAAATAACTGTACAACACTATAATTAAATTATAGAAGTTAACTGTACATCATTATAAAAGAAACCTTAAAACAGGAGTACTTTGAAGGTCTACCATTTAAGTCTTTTTAAAATTTAAGAGTAGAGCAAAGCAGGAATGGTAAACAGACGATATCTGGAAACTAAAAAAGGCTCAACATTACTCAGAAGCTAAGAGAGAATCCAAGAATATCCAGGCTAGCTGTATCAATTTCTGTGCCTGGTAATAGGCAGAGCAGCCAATCAACTACAAACTACCACAAATGTAGCGGGAAGCAAGGTAAATTTAACATGCAAAATTGAGCTCAAAAGAAATTAAGAAATCGCCAGGGCTAAATAACAAATAGGAAAGGAAGTCAGAGCAGTAACTGTAATCACAAAACAGATGTCACATAGGTTCTAATTTGTATAAAGCAGTTCTCATGTAGGTTTGGGGCTAAAATGTATACATTTTACAGTCTTTGATACCCCAAGTTAGTAACATACCAAAGACGCAGGAACAAAGCATAGAAAAGCAATATAAACAGAAGACATACTGTAGTTAGGATAAGTATAAATGTATTAACATACTAGAGCAGACGCTATCAGGCCGAAATGTTTTTGAAAAGCAGAGACAAAGAGACAGAGACACAGATTTCCCATTTACTGGTACCCCCAACAGCCAGAGCTGTGCCAAGCCTAACACCAGGAGCTGGGAACTCAATTCAGGTCTCCCACATGGGTAGCAGAAATCCAGCTACTTGAACCATAACTTGTACCTCCCAGGGTGCAAACCCACAGGAAAGCTGCAACTGGGAAGAGAGGTAGCCACTCTGATATGGAATGTAGGTATCTGAAGCGGCATCATAACTGCTGCGCCAAATGTCCACCCCATTAGGCCAATTTTAAAGCTATATGCTATTTGTAAACTACATGTTATTTATAAAAAATATACCTAAGTCATTAAGACAGAGCATGTTAAAATACAGAAAATAACATGCCAGGAAAATACTAAAATATTATATACTTACCTACATACACACACAAAATATTCTGTTTCACACCTCACACTGCAGAGTGGGTTTTTTTTTAACCTGTCCTTCACTCATATGTGCCCAATTTAGTTTTTTTTTTTTTTAAAGATTTATTTATTTATTTGAAAGAGTTACAGAGAGAGAGAAAGAAAGAGAGAGGGAGGGAGGGATGGAGGAAGGGAAGGGGAGGTGGGACTCTCCATCCGCTGGTTCACTCTCCAATTGGCTGCAACTGACAGAGCTGTGCCAATCCGAAGCTAGGAGCCAGCAGCTTCTTCCAGGTCTCCCATGTGGGTGCAGGGGCCCAAGGACTTGGACCATCTTCTACTGCTTTTCCAGGCCATAGCAGAGAGCTAGATCGGAAGTTGAGCATCTGGGACTTGAATTGGTTACCCATATGGGATGCCAGCACTGCAGATGGCGGCTCTACCCACTACCCCACAGCAAATGCTGGCACTTCTGACATGTGAGGGCCCATTATACTTTGTTGTCAGAGGCTATCCTGTATACTGTTAAGGTTTTAGCAACACCCTTGGTCTCTACATATAAGATGCCAATAATACCTCAACTCCCCCAAGTAACAAACAGAAATGTCACCAGAGGATCAGGATGGCTGAGACTGAGAATCACTGTTAACACAAATCAATATTGAAAATGAACAAAACTCAATTAGGTCTAAACTAGGATTAACCGCATACCAATAAAACTATTGATTCACCTGGAAGATAGAACAACTCTAACTTTGCATACACCTAACTTTAAATATTCGGAGGTAGGGTCAGCATTGTGGCACAGCTGGTTAAGTCATCTACCTATCAATAGTGTCTGGTTCCGGGTTGGTGCTGTGGTGCAGCAGGTTAATCCTCTGCCCGCAGCACCAGCATCCCATATGGGCACCGGTTCTAGTCCTGGCTGCTCCTCTTCCGATCCAGCTCTCTGCTGTGGCCTGGGAAAGCAGTATAAGATGGCCTAAGCACTTGGGCCCCTGCACCCACGTGGGAGAACCAGCAGATGGAAGACTTTTCTCTCTGTCTGTAACTCTACCTCTCAAATAAATAAAATCTTAAAAGAAAAAAAAAAAAAGGAGTGATTCAATTCCTAACTACTCTACTTCCCATCCAGCTTCCTGCTTATGCATCCGAGGAGGCAGCAGGTAACAGCTCAAGTGTTTAGTCCCTGCCACCAATGTGGGTGACCTAGATGGGGTTCCAGGCTCCTGGCCCAGCGCTGGCTGCTGCAAGCATTTGCAGAGTGAACCAGCAGATGAAAGACCTCTCAATCTCTCAATCTCTCTCTCTCTCTCTCTCCCCCTCTGCCTTCCAAGTAGATGAAAACAAACTTTTTCTTTAAAAAAAAAAAATTCAACTAAGAGGCCAGTGCTGTGGCCTAGCAGGTAAAGCTGTCACCTGCAGTGCTGGCATCCCATATGGGTACCTGTTCGAGTCCCAGCTGCTCCACTTCCAATCCAGCTCCCTGCTAATATGACTGGGAAAGCAGCAGAAGATGGTCCAAATCCTTGGGCCCCTATACCCATATGGGAGACCTGGAGGAAGCTCCTGTCTCCTGGCTTTAGATCTACCCAGCTCTAGCCATTGCAGCCATTTGGGGAGCAAATCAGTGAATGATCTCTTTCTCTCTCTGCCTCTGCCTCTCTGTAACTCTGCCATTCAAATAAATACATAACTCTTAAAAAAAAAAAAGAATTTTTTAAAAAAATCTGAACATGATAAATACAAAGAAATCTCAGTTACCATTATTTTAAAAAATAAAAAAATATATTGAGGCCATCTTATTAATGGAAAAATCTACCATCATAGGAAGGATTTTGATTTAAACAAATCTTTCTCAACAACTGACAGATCAAACACAAAAAATAACTTTTAAAAAACTTGATTATTGCCTTACTTAAAACTTGGCATCTAACAACTAGATAAAATTCCTCCCAAACATATAAGGAATATTTATGGGGGAGGGGGACTTCATGGTATCTGTAACATAAATGTCAACTATCTTTTGAAATATCTATCACCAGATTAGGTTCTGAATGCAAAGCAATTGAGTTATAATACTACAAAAAGAAAAATAAATACTATTTTCTACTTGTACATTTTTTAAAAAATTCTTTATTTTTGTTTCCATTTTATTTGAAAGAAAAAGAGATATCTATTGAGAGAAAGAGAGAGAGAGAGAGAATATGAATGTCTCCATCCACTGCTTCACTTTCCAAATGCCAAAAATAGCCAGAAATGGGCCAGGCTGAAGCCAGAACTCAATCCAAGTTTCCCACATGAGTGGCAGGGACCCAAGGACCCAAGAACATCACCTGCTGCCTCCTAGGAAGCTGGAATTGGAAACAGAGGCAGGACAGGAACCCAAGCATTCAAGTATGGGATACGGGT